ATACCATGCTTCATTAGATATGATCTAAGGATTGAATTGTAATATTCTTTCCCATTGTTGGTTCTTAACACTTGGATTTTGGTTTTGAATTGAGTTTGGATCATATTGTTGAAGTTTTGGAATAGTTGGCCCACTTCTAATTTTTCCTTCATAAGGAATACCCAAGTTATCCTGGTGTGATAATTAATAAATGTGACAAATCATTTCGAACCAGTAATGTTATTTACTCTGGAGGGACCCCAAATGTCACTGTGTATCATTGAAAACGGATGGGATGATTTGTAAGGCTGATTAGGATATGTGGTTTGGGTATGTCTGGATAGTTGACAGACTTCACATTGAAAGTTGTTAGAATTTTTATTGAATAATGAGGGAAACAACCTATTGAGGTACAAAAAGTTTGGATGACCTAATCGATGCTGCTACAACATGATATTACCATCTTTATTATTACTAAAGGATGAAGCCACACAAAAGGTTTTTTGATATATGTCTTTCAGAATCATTAGCTCTTAAGATATAGAGTTCTACACACATCTTAGCATTGACAATCATCTTCCCTGAGTCCAAATCTTGAAATTCACATATATTTGAAATAAATTTATTAACACACTTAAGGTCTCTTGTAAGTTTGCTTATAGTTAGTAGATTGCAACTTAGATTTGGGACAAACAGAACAAAATTAAGTGTTATCTCTTTGGAAATAATAACAGAACCTATATCGGCTACTTTTGGAATTAACCCGTCAGCAATTCGAACTGTGAAGTTTCCATGACATGGGTTGCATTTACTGAATATAGATGCATCCCTAGTCATATGGTCTAAAACTCCTAAATCCACAATCCATGAATTTGATTTTTCTAGTTTTACACTCAAGAAACTTAGAAAATTACTTTTTTGTGCTAAAAACCCTGTTCCAATAACACTAGCTTTGGGGTTAAAGGTAACCTCCGACGTCAGGCTCTTCTTTCTACTGACCATGCTGGACTTCGAGTGAAAATTTTCAAAGGTTCAGATTGTGATTTGATACCATGAAGAAATCTCTAGAATTAAACTATTTTATTCTTCTATATTTTTCTTATTACAATATTAGAATTGCATGAAAATATATAGGCTAAAAATTGAATATTCTTTGCTTTAAACCTAAGATTTTTCATGTATTAAAATAGCTAATTACTCTCTACTCATAATAGAAAATATTTAATGGATTTGGTGCAATTACCCAAATCACTCGTTATTCTAAAAATAAGTGACTTAACTAAAATAGATAAAGTTAATCAATCAAGTAATAATGATGATTAGATTTCCACAATTTTAAATTTATCTTCACTCTTATCCTCACGGGTATTTAATGGATATGAGTAATCTCTATTAGAGGTATAAATGATACATCAGTACTTGCAAGCTATTCGAGTTTGATTCGAATAAAACTCGAATTTGGCTCAATCATTGTTGAATCGAGGTCGAGCTCGCGTAGCTCGAATTATCGAACGAGCCAAGTTTGAATATTCTAATACTCGGTTCAAATAGCTCGTGCATCTAACTAAGTTTTTATATTTAAATATATTTTAATTATTTTAACTAGTAATTTACTATTTTACCTTTAATATACCTAACCTAGAAAACCCTACTTTTTTCATTTTGTTTGTTCTTTCTCAGATTCACTCCCGACTCCTAAGCAAGTGGTGCTTCCTCCAGTCCCAAACACCCTATCAATATCCCAATTCCCAAGTGGCGCCTTTCTCAGTCAGTCATCTTCTCCGATTCCAGTGCTTAAGTCTTGATATTTCTTGACTCCATTCAGCAGTAAAATCTCGGGCACTTCAGGTATACAGTGCTTAAGATGGAGGCTTTTACTGTCAAGGATCACAGAGGGGAATATGAGTCCATACTTCATACTATATCTAGTTTTTCATTCGTGGATTTCTTGGATTTTTATTATTTTTTTAATTGAGTTGCTTGACAGTGTATAAGAAGCACCATCCACTGGTTTTGCCTTCTTGTGGGAGTAGAGGGTATCTAGCGGGCTGGATGCAAGAGAGGCCAGCCTAGGGCTTATAACTCAATGAACCAAAAAGAAAGAAAGAAGATGGAAAGCTTTGGATCCTGTGGATGCTTTCTTCGCTTGATAGATTAGGATATGCTCATAATAATCTATGCATCTGAGGGAGTCTGCACATCTGGTTCAGATGTGCATTAATCTAATATAAAATGACAAATCTTGCTGAAAGAGACTTGATTAGGCTATTCTGTGTTGGTTTATTTAGCTGCGTCATAGGTTGAGTAACCAATGAATTAATTTCAACTTCCCTCACCCTGTTAATGTACTGCAGATTTGTTGAAATCAATTGACATTATTCTGTGGCATTTCAGCAAAATAAAACAATTAAGAAAATACTGGTAGCTGGAAGGAATGACTACTGTCTTATGAATGCAGGATAGTACATCATTCTGTTTTGAAAATGTGACATTTGCATTCAGTTTCTGACTTTCCAGGCTGCTGAAATTTAATGCTGCTGCCCTGCAGCTTTCTGAGTTAAACTTGTTAAGAGAAGGTCAATCTGAGACTTTTTCTTTCTGGTTTTCAGTTTTGGATATTGACCTTTTGTGCTCTGGTTCTGGTCTATAAACCTAAAAGCATGGCAGTGGCAGTTGATTTGTTTTAGGGGTAAGCCAATTGTGTCTTAACTAAGCTGTACTTCCTGCCGTATTTATTATACATGGTTGAGAATGAACTAAAAAATTCTTTAATTTACAAGTGATAAAAAGAGTTATTGAGAACTTCTTGGCTTGATGTTAGATTTAAATTAATCAGATACCATGGAGTTGGTTTGATTTTCTTCCGAAGTATAGTCTTTGTTTTTTGCCTTTTTGATAGGCCTTTAATTGAGTTCGCATCTTGTTGTTACTTTCAACTGCTTAAGCTCTGGGCCAGCTTGTCAGCTTTATTTTCAGTTTTATTTTTAAATTGAATAAAATAGTTTCATTAATTTAACAATGGGAGCAAAAATTTCTGCAGGTCTATGTAGATAAGCTGGTGAAGAAAGCCTATGACAACTGGATCAAGTCATAGAGTGTGATGGCAAGTCACTGTTGAACTTCAAGCAAAATAGGAGGTCAAGTGCTCGAAATGAACTTTAGATCATCAGCTGCAGTTACCACGGCTGCCAGTTGCAGTTCCTACTGAGCAAGTGCACTCGGGCCCATAGGTTGGAGGTAAGCATTATGATTACTTTAAACATATATCTCAGCTTAATCTTTCTGGAGTTATGCTCATAAACATCATTTTGCTTATTGCCTGCTTACTTCCCCTTTTCCTTGGTACAAGACAGAAGATTAACATAACATGGTATGAGTAAAGGTTCTTTATGAAGGATGAAAGCTTGCTATGAAGTAAGCTAAATAAATATAAAAATGGAACCACCTAATATAAGAAAATTCTAAAAATAATTGATACCTCTGTTTTATCTAGCATCACTGTTGTATAGTTAAGATAGTTAAAGACTAAAGTTACTATTATTCTTATTGTTAATTGTAATTTGTTTGTTTTGTAATATTTTTTGTGTAAGTTTGTAGGAAAAAAATAGGGCCAAACGATCATTTGAAGACATAATATTGTGAAGACATCATTACAAGCATGTATATTGTTGTCGATTTGTAGTAACTTGTGTGTGTGGACTTATTTGCTTGGATATTTAATATCTTTCAATTAGAACTTTAATTTTCAAAATTAATTATATATTTTATTTGTGTGTTGTATTTGAATCATATGATGAGTCTTTTATTTACTTGGATTTGATTGTTGTGTAAGTTATTATTATTATTGTTGTTGTTGTTGTTGTTATCTTGAAAATATAATATTTGTTAGGTTTGATAAAAAATAGTTATAAAACATCTCAAACTCGAGCTCAAATACAAATAATCAAGTTTTTATCGAGTATAAGGATCGAGTTTTTTTTTACATGTTAAACGAACTTAATTGATCAAGTTCGAGTAATTTAATTTTTATTTTAAGTCAAATTTAAATTAAAAAAAAATTGATAATGTTCGAATCGAATTTTGAGTTTCAAATTTAAAGTCGAGCTTGAATTTTGTATTATATCGATTTGAATTCAATTGATTATACTTGTAATCTCTATATCCAAAATTTAAAAAATAATAAAATTTGATTTTTTAGTTTTTTTTTAATTTTTATCTTGTATATTTAAGTAATTTTTTTATAAATATATAATTTTTAATAAAGATATATTAATTTTAATTAATTTAAAATAATAATTTATATTATTTAACAAAAAAATTTATTTATTAAATATATATACATGACGAGATATAGATACGATACAAATATTATAATACACATTCTCATTTATGTATTTAATAAAATTTTAAAATCATATTTATTTTTATATTTTTAATATAACGTTAATCTTTATCTTTATTTGAGAAAAAGGTTGAATTTTTTTTAAATATGAATAAAATTGATATTCCTAATTGAAATATAATCCAACCTCAAGCTCTTAATCATCCCTTTTCTTTTATTAAAAAAAAAAAATCTAGGTTAAGCAGAAAATAGTAAATTAATGGTTTCATAGTGCTTGGATATCTATGGGAGACCAATGGCAAAGGCCACAAATTTGGAGATTCCCATGTTTGTATACGAATGTTGGTATAGAAGTTGCATCTTCTGTTGTGAAGTCCTTGATCACAATAGCCCCTTCTTTTTATTGAATTGGGGGGTAGGGCTCTTGTTTGGATTGTTTAAAACAATTGCTTAAAATGCAAGTAAAAATGGACCATCGGACTTTCTTGGGATGATATGAGGGAAGGGAAGAAAACTATTTTCCTTTCTGTAAAAATCAGATAAGCAATGTTGTTGTACAAACAAATAATTTTTTTAATTCAATTTGGGGAGATTTTGAAAAGTAGAAATGCCAAAATAGAGTTACAATAAGTTGCAAGAACATTGACCATCCCTATGACTCGGTGAAATCTAATTGCATCTAATCACACAAAACTACCTTTAGAATCTTTGACAAAAACTTGATGAAATCATGACAGTCCCCACATATTCTTAAGTTCTTGAATACCCGGATCACTCTTGCTTCAGCCCAGCCTCCATGGAGAAGCGCCAAACCAATTGCCAACTTCTCACTGTGAACTCTCAAGCTCTCTTCCTTGGACTCCTCGTCTATATCACGCAATGCAAATTTCACTTCATGAACATAGCCCAAATCTTGTTTCATCCTTTTCTCCATCTCCTTCAGTACTTGATGGATTTTCTCTGTCAGCGGGTGTGTGTTGTCTCCGCCATGGAAAAAGTGGACCTCCTTGTCAATCTCCACCCAACTACGCCCTGCCTCTTTCTTCAACCCCTTTGCTTTTGCTAATTCTCTTACTTCTTCGCAGTCCATCCAATAGCCAGCCCCAGCATAAATATTTGAAACCATCACGTAGTTGACAGGGTTGTCGCCATCCAATGTTAAAAGGTTTTGCCCTACTTCTTTCCCGAGTTGCAGGTCTCCATGTACTCTACAAGCACTGAGCAACGTTTGCCATATACCTACATTTGGCTTTAAAGGCATGCTTTCTATGAGGTCCTTGGCTTCTTTCAAGCGTCCATCTCGACCGAGAAGATCAACCATACAGGCATAATGCTCTATCCCAGGTTTGACCCATCGATTACGACACAGCTGTGAAAAACATTCTTCACCTTCTTTAATGAGTCCAGAATGACTACATGCCGAGAGTATAGCCAAATAAGTCACCCTATCAGGCTCAATATTATCCAATTGCATTTTGTAGAAGAAATGAATTGCCTCTTTGCCAAAACCATGCTTTCCATAGCCAGTGATCATAACCGTCCAAGAAACAACATTTCTTGTTGGCATTTCATTGAACAGTTTTTCTGCCTCGTCTAGCATTCCACACTTGAGATACATATCCACAATTGAATTGTGCACAGATATCTCTAAACCAGAAGGAATCTTAACAGCATATGCATGCATTTGCTTGCCTTGCTCCACAAGTGCAAAATCAGCAAACACGCCCATCATACTTGATAGAACAAACCCATCCACTTGCGTGGTGCTGTTTTGAAGCTGCCTAAATAACTCAACGGCCTCTGCCAAGTTCCCTTCTTGAGCATACCCCAGAATTAATGCACTCCAAGATATAAGATTTTTCTCCGCAATCTGATTAAACACCATTCGAGCCTCAATCAAGTTCCCACACTTTACATACAAATCAATTAGAGAACCTGTAATGGCTGCCTTTCCTGAACATGGAAATCCACTAGTGATCAAAAAACCATGAATCACTGATCCTTCCCTAATCTTACGAAGACCACTACAAGCTTTCAACATGGTTGTAAATGTATACTCGTCCGGGATTTCTCCATTTTGTTGCATTTTATGGAACAAAACTAAAGCTTTCTCACCCTGGCCTGCAAGTGTATAACCTGCTATAATTGTGTTCCAGCTTATAAGATTCCTATCTTGCAAAACATTAAACATGGTCAATGCTTCATTGATTCTTCCACATTTTGAGTACATATCAACTATAGAATTCCCCACCACAAGGGCACAATCAAAGCCAGATATTACACACATACCATGAATCTGCATCCCAATCTCAAGAACATTCAAAATTCCACAAGCTTTAAAATTTGTGGAAAAAGTAAACTCATTTGGTTTAAAACATGAAAATACCATCTGATAGAAAAGTGACAATGTTGCTCTGGCATTACCATTTTGTAAATGGCCACACATAAGCGCTGTCCAAGAAACCACATTTCTCTCAATCATTCTGTCAAACACGAGAGAAGCCATGTCCATTATACCACATTTTGCATACATATCTACAAGATCATTGCTTAACATCAAGTCAAAACCAAATCCCATTTTCACAGTTGCTGCATGAACCTGAACCCCTTGATCGGGCAATGATTTTTTTGAACAACATCTTAAGAGATTGGCTAATCTCTGCCTCTTACTCCTTATAGGAAATAACAATCGGGTCATTGATTATCGTGTTCAGTTTAAGTCCTTTATTTAGTAAAAATCCTTTCTGTGCCCATGTTGCATGATTGCGTGACCTTAGCGGAATTGAAGAAAATTGATGCCAATCTTTCGAAGAATGATTTCTTCGAGATAAAATGGTGGTTTTTGTAATAAAAGCACGTTCTTCGAGTTACTTGCCAATCTCCGGGTATATTTCATATGTATGGATTTGATCATTTGAACTAAAGTCTCATTCTTTATTCATATTCCATGCCGTGGAATTGTCTCACTTCACCGTCTTAATAGATTTGGATGCGGATATCTATATCATGTTTTTACATCAGATACTTGTAAAATAGAGTAACATTTTATATCAAATTCATGTAACAAGTCAAACACAAAATATAATTTTTTTTATCTTTGCCAAACTTATATAATAATTTTTGTTAAAATTTTGAACTGTAATGTTTATATATATATATATATATATATATTTATGTAATTTTCGCACCGTATCATTTTATCTTATTTAAAATAAAATTGCCAGGTCCTTAAGGAAATGGTTATAGGTTAATTTGCATTGTGGCAAACAAAAGGATATGAACAAGTATGAAGATAGAACAAGAGCTTTATCTTATAGCAGGACTCCGAATCCCAGTATCAGGTAAATCAATTCAGATACCATACAACTGCAGCATGAGAATCACAAAGTGCGAACCAAACCTCGGTGTCGATAGTTTTGAAATACAAAGAAATAACTTGCAAGTATACCAAAGAATACCATTCTTGATCTATTCAGCTTGGAAAAATACAGTGGGGAGCCAAAAACATACAACAAATGCCTTACATATTCTGAAACTAATCAACAGAAACATGCTTGCTGAATTGCTATGTAAAGGAGAGGCAACATATGACAATTATTGCGAATAATATACTGCAATCTATTAACGCTGCATCAATCACCTTCTGCACTTCCAATCCTACCTCCAAAGTCTTGCTTAATTGGTCAGCCCAATTATAGTCATCCGTGGAAGCCGCTTTGTTCTCTTCTCCTATAGCTCTCTGAGAACTTCCACGATCATCAAAAAGAAGTCGTGGGGTCAACAATGTCACATTGTTCAGCAAAATGAAGAGGCCTAAAGCTAAAAATACTCCCCAAGAGTCTGTTTCCTAGAAGAGGAAATCCCAAGCTTGACAATACAACTAAAATGGCCACAATTACTGAGCATAAAATGCGTGTCTTCTCAGATGCATAAACCGTGTTTCTGAATGCTGCACCACCCCTGAAGTAGAAATAAATGAATTTTGATCATCCAATGAAACTATGTTCCCTTCACCACTTGCATCCAAGGTAGGATCTTTAGTAGCTCCAATGCTTGTCCCGCCTCGATGCGAAACTGATCCCTTACCAATTCCACTATCATAAGCACTGGTCTGACTCGAATCAACATTAAAAATAGGATCATGTTTTAGCCTACACAGGACTAGAGCCTTTATCATCGGCATTGGGAGAAGCTGCATAGCAATAAATTTTCAAAAGCAATTAGTCCAAAGAACGTGGAATACATTAACAAAACCATTAGTATAGTATCCTTCGACTTTTGTTCGTTATTTTAGTTACTTGGGTGACACCAACAAAGGATATTTAATTGCGCATTCAACAAGCAAGTTAAAATTAAGAACCCCAAAAGCTAAACCTGAGAAGATACTTTCACTTTCCTAAATGGAGAATTGTTCTACCGCTGTAATTCAATTGCTCCAACTATCAAGACATGATAAACTGAAACAACCCTCGGAAAGATATTTAAACGTGAATAGAGAGAGGGAAAAGATATTTTCCTACGCCTTGTTGCCATGTTGACAATAAATCTTAATTTCAAAAAAAAAAAAAAATGCTGCTGTCTGTTGAAAATGAGTACTAATCAGACTATGATTGGGTGACTTTGTTATGATATGGATATATCACATTTGGGTCAAATTTTGGACTTTGGTTTGCTGTGGATATTACGTTTCGGACTGCCATTGTCCTTTTGGGCTATTAACTAAAATTGGATCATATTTGAGGCTTTACTTTGAGGTGGATGTAAAGTTAGGGCTACATTTTGGGCTTCGTTTATTAACATCAGGCCGACAACAAAATTTAAGTCGCTTTGGACAAGATTTGGAAAAATGTCAGAAGTGGGATTTGAACCCACGCCCTCTTTCGAGGACCAGAACTTGAGTCTGGCGCCTTAGACCACTCGGCCATCCTGACATGTTTGTAAAGGATTAATCATAATACTATTATTTCGTTAGATAGGCTAAGCTATATAGAAGTGGAGTAGAATGCGATGGACCGTCCCTACCGGTCAAACTCCTTCCCACTTCCCAGGTTAAGTTTCAAAAGGATGCTTAGAGAGTGAAAAGGGGTTGAAGTAGCATGAAGAGTAAACAGGGGATTTTTTTTAGGGTTGGAATTGGAGATTATCATTAACAAGCATAACAGAACAGCAGAGGTAAAGGGTGCATAAAAAACTGAGCATTATCTGTTATTGAAGCATAATTCTCCTGCACAGTAAACAGTAACCCCCTAACCTTTCCTCTTCAAACAGTGAAGATGTTTATGAATTGTGATGCTCTTTTTGAAAAAAGGAAGCCTTGGTGACAATCATCATTGTCAATCGAGACAAGAAATTTGTCAGCCTTCTCAATATTTCCACCAGTATTATTACTTTTTCTCGATCAAACCCAGATGTTGAAATAGAAATTACTTTGAAGAAATTCAAGAACCATTGTTCTCATAAATTACATCCAAAACCAATATCAAAATTTCCTGGCTGCTACAAAAAAAAGTGTTAGAAGGACAAGCATTTTGAGCATATCCGCTGACCTGATTAATTCTGAAACTTTCAGCTGTCACTATAGCTGCCCTGATCCACCAAACAAAAGGCCTTGTGAGAGTGAAAACCCATACTTAAAAGGCTACCAAATAAACTTCTTATTCAATTACCAAAGGAATGAATGCTTAGATCTGTTTTGAAGTTTGAACCATTCATTAAAAAAATAATTTGAGAGTTACTAGCTTTTATTCAGCAAAATGCAAAATCTTTATATTATATATAATCTTATACAACTAACCTCACGCTTGTAAGATATAATTCTTAAGTTCCAAAGTGCCTAAAAATTTGAGTTTGAATGTTTGATAATTGCAATAAAAGGTGTTCTAATATCTAAATAAAATTGCGATTCTTCAGATACGTGACGAGGTTCTGGTTCTTTACGGATGTAGCACCTACACTGCCATTCCAGTTCATATGCAGAATCTTGACTGGCAAATGGCACACTGGTTAGGGCTTTGGCTTCCTCAGCTAGCTTCGTCTCTGGCGTGTTACTGAACTCTTCGAAAGGTAAATCATGCCTAACTTAACAACTACATGCATTGTTTTAAGCAAGCCTCATTTTGCGAGCTTCTTGAATTTCAAAGCTATATTCCTCAAACATCAAGAGATAGACAAAGAGGGATTAAACACCAATACCTTCTCTAATTTGAACTCATTTTTGATAGGTTAGAAAAAGACACAGGCTTTAGCTACTTTTGGACAAGACTCCTTAAACTAATCTGTGTGAGTATTATTTTCCTTCTGCTTTTCTTATTTTGTTGGATTTGATATACAATAACCAAATTAAGCGATCTTAAAATTTTCTATGGTTTACATAAATACTTGGAAAAAATATCTCTAAATTGACAGTTTATTGAAGCTTAAACAAGATAGACATATATATGTATATATGTATAATATTTGGATTAAGCTAGATAATCATTAAAGAGGCAGAAGGAGGAACCAGTAAGGACATTTAAATCCTAGCTCCAACATGTTTCTATAATTTTTATTTAGCTCATAAATAAATTTAAAAATTTATTAATTACAACTTTTATCACTATAAAATTGTAATTGCATTCTAGGAAATAATTAAATTATAAGAAGTGTATACTCAATCCTTTGACGTACAAACTGGTAACTACATGTAAACAAATCCCTCTGCTTAAACATTCATAAGCAATAATATACCCTGTCAACCTTTTAAGCTTATTGTCCTTTATTCCTTGAAACAATTTGTTCTCATGATTATTATTAAATTTTAACATACTTTATGCTAAAATACCCAATCAGGATCCCTTAATCAAATTAATAAATTGCTAAAGAAATGTTTTTGCTCATAACGAAAATGTGGAATTCCACCTTGAGAATTTACATTTTCATAATTTGAAATAATAAATTTTCAAAATAAATCGCATTCGTTGATATATTAAAGAAATTATAATAATTAATTAAAGTTCATCATTATCTCATAATTGAAGACCTTTTACATAATAATAGCATTGAAAATTGTATCCTATAAGTGGCAATATTAAAAGATACATTCTCACCATAGTCCAAATTCAATGCATTCCAAATGCATTAACATACCAAATCAATGTCTCATTTTTATAATCAAGGCAAATCATCTCATTGGTACACTACAATCTTTACAAATAAAATTATTCTATTGTATTAAAATTGTGAATAAATTATAATTAATTAATTATATAATATAATTAGAATCTCCTATACATTAATTATATTAATGTACCCTAATCACATTTTATATAGTTAAAATGGACAACCATTTATCACATAAATGTAAACACATGCCAAAAAATAAAAATTATTATTTTGTAAAAATAATAACTTTTATTATTAAAACATGTCACATAATTATTGGATTTAAAAGGCAAATTTCCTACAGGATTCTCCAATCTCCATCTCTAACCAAACATTTACAAGTAAATTTCATTTTACTCCAATGGCAGTTTACGGTATTTGCAGTACATTCAGCTGGTTGCTTCAATTACTCACTAGCTGCACGCCACAAAACAACAGCTCATACGGGGATTGGAAGTAAGGTTGAAGATTTTAAGCACAGAAGTGTCTGGCTAGGCTACAACTATTCGGCTATTCCATTTACTGGTCAATTGTCACTCTCACCACAGTTGGCTACGGAGACTTGCATGCAGTGAATAAAAGGGGGAAGATATTTAACATGATTTATATGCTATTCAAACACTGGCCTCACCGCTTATATAATCGGTAACAAAGACAAATCTCATCATCCATGCAGTAGTCAGAACCTTTGCCATGGTTATTCTCTCTTCTGCTCTCGTTTCATTTATAGAGAACATCTTCCATCTCATAGACAACAATAGCGTACAAGATTAGCAGCATATAAAGCAGTGGATCATCAGGAAACAGACTGATAAGTCTTGCTTTGTCGGTCCTACAGGCAACCTTCCGCATAATGCTAATGTTGTTTGGATTGATATGATTCTATCGTCTTCGGTATTGAGATTAAGGTAGCTCTATGCTGGCCAAATTTCTCTCCTATATTTCAGACTTGCACGACCCACAATGCTACTTCACATAGCATTTTAATGCAAACATATTAAATAAACCATAAAGTAAGATCATGTCTTGACGGAGAGATGCCATCAATGAGTTATTGCGTTATGCAAGCAAAAATAGACTCCCAGAAGGCATAAGAGAACAAATGCCCGCACACATGCAACTCAAGTTCAAGACAGCAGACTTGAAGCAAGAAAAAGTGCTACAGGACCTGCCCAAGGCAATAAGATTCAGCATTGCCCAGCACCTCTTCCTAAATACTGTTGAAAAAACCTACCAATTCAAAGGAGTCTCCGAAGGCCTTGTTTCTCAGTTGGTACCACTATTTCCATTTCTTTTATATGAAGTCACAAGGGGGGATTCAAATTTCAAACCTCCTATTTGGTCTGTGGTGTGGGTTACAACTTACAATTGAAGCAATGCCTCATCAACTCAAAAAAAAGAACTCACCTTAACAAAATTACAATCCAATATTTCAGTGGATTTCAATCACGAAATGGTAATCAAAATCTACCCACCTTACTATAGAAAAACAGTGTTATCATACAGTACCTTTTCATATATTTTCATTTTACAGATGTCATACATGAAAGCAGAACACTTTCCTCCAAAGGTTGAAATTATTTTACAAAATGCAATACCTACAGACTTCTACAATCTAGTATTGGGAGCAGTGGTATAGCATCATTCTTTTTCAAATGTTTATGCCTTCTATTTAACCTCAGGTGCAAAACCTAAACTCTCTGGAACTGCAAGATGTGTTGACATACAAGAATAGAATGGAGCTGGTATATCTTATGGTACAAGTGTATAATTTCATAGTGATTGCATTTATAGACTCAGAGCATGATATTCCTATTGACTTAGAAAAATGGGATAGGAACTACAATAATAGATGTTCTTTTTGTTAATGGGATAGGAACTACAATAATAGATTTTCTTTTTGTTTTTGGTTTTCCTAATGTTTTGGGAGGTGGCAGTGGGGGAGCCACTATCAAAATACCATTTTCTGCGTATAAACAAAGATATTGGTGAAAGATGAACACAGATTAAGATGCCTCATTTTAATATCAAAATGAAACCATATATGATGAGAGTATAGTTAAAACATAAACCATCAAGATAGAAACATAAGAGCAACTATTATCAAACAAATATCTGAAAGATAATATCTCAGACCGCTGACAGTCTCCAAAGTAACAGCTCGCTTTGCCTATGATTTCTCTAAGACGATGGATTTGACCTTTAACTTTTAATACCTTCAAAAAAATGCTGCAGTAATTAAAATATTATTAATTTAAGAAAGTAAGGTATAGCAAATCTAGGAAACAAATATCAGTAAGTTAACTGCAAGCTCAATTATCAACATCGTTTACTTCTAGCAAAAAAAAAATGCACATGAAGAATTGCTACATATACCATAGACACCGGAAGACAAGATATGATCATGAAGAAACCTTCTGATCATTGAGCAAGAGACTTAAAAGGATGTTAGTAGTATGAGAATTACTTTCTTGAGATTATAAGAGTGAAAAAACCAATCCACATGTAATACCTGTAATGTTAAACTAAAGCTTCTTTCTTTCCATTTCTTGTCTTAAACTAAGTTACTGCCTTTCCTTTTCAAGTTTTTGTCAAAACTAGGTTCTGCAAATATGACAGGAGAAATTGGGGTATCACAGGTTATTCAGATAAGTTATTACCATTTCAAACAAACGGTGCAACCACAGACTAAAGACGGAGAGATTATTATTGGCAACTTCATGCAGGTTTGTAAACTTTATCATCTCCATACATGGGCAGTTTGTAGTCAGTTCTACACTCACAGGGGAAAAAAGAATAATTCAGAGATTGAAAAAAAAGATCATAAGTCAAAGCAAATTTTTTATGGGAAATCATCCACGTCGGGCCTAAAGCTGTTGAAAAATATCTTAGCTCAGAGCATGTAATAGAGATTTAAATTTGAATAAGCAGTTCCACGATTAGTTTGAATAAGCATGTAATAGAAATTAGTAACGCAAGAAAATTCAAAACTACAACCTAACATAATTCATTTTTTGGCCTTTCATACAGTCGACCTTAGAGTTATGCGATATAAAACTTAGTTTGTTGTTGTAAATTTGAATAAGCAATTCCATGATTGGTTTGGGGAGGTTTTAAGATAAGTTCATATGTGAGTAAAAAAATTCCACATCACTAAAAAATGTGAGTGAGATATTCTATATATACATGGAAGACCCAAAACTCCAATAACTTAAGTTTTTGGGCTCAAGTGATATCTAATATATATGTATGAGCTCTCTGATGTGATCTCGTAAACTCCAAGAGTGACAAATCTCCCATCAACCGATATCAAAGCAAAGATTATTTTTTAGACATCGATATAAAAACAACCCAAGACAAAAACAAATTATTCAATTTGGAAGCCAATGATGAAAATCATTTATACTACAAAAATTTGTATGAGCCAATATTGAATGATTCGATTAAACTAATAGATGTCAGCCGTAGTAAGTCCAAACATAGATGTTAATTCTTGATTAGCATCTAATTTTGTATTTTGACATATAACATATTTGAGCATATGAGCCAAGCTAGTGTTTTGAGGGAAAAATGGTGAGTCTATCATCTATTTTGGACAATAGACACTCCATATCCAGAAATGATTGTCCTAAGGTGATGAGGACATTAATTTTCTTCATTGAGTCAACCTAAATGTTCAAGCGCATGGATTCCAAAGCATGCTATATCTAGAACAAACGAATTGTCAAATAGATCCAGATAATGTTCTTTTAATAAAGTGCATAATATTCTGTAGATATTTGCAACTTATTGATTCTATTATTTTGCGGGAACACCAGACACTTCCAGTCCTTCACTAAGTGCAATTACCATCCGGGTGATAATCCATAGGCATCATCCAATCGAAGGAGCAATGTCTCATGAAAGACTAGGAAGGCTCATATATTTGCCTAACTCAACCGAGGACCTCTTCAATCTAGCTGGTATGACGCAACTACAAGCTTCTCAAAAAGCAAATATTTGCTTTCTAACTTCCACATGGCATGCTAAAAGACTTGAAGGAATGGTGAAAAATGCAACCAAACGAACAAACACAAAGATATAACCCAACTAAAACTCATTTCTAAGAGAAGGTGATCGAGTACATGACAGCTTGTTGAAATATTTAGTCTTGAGACATCAAACATGAAACTAAGCCTATTAAACCAGTAGAAGAGACTTCCATTTCACGTCACAACGACATAGACCACTTAACATAATGTATAACAATTCTAACAAAATTAATTTCATTAATTCACGTGATTGGAAAGTTAATGACCTTAATTTAAGAGGAAAACAGCATTTTCGTGTTTACACTAACGTACGCTTAATGAATGCCCAAAAGGAGAGAGAAGTGAGCATTAATGCAGGAGCTGAATTTGGTTACATTTGGTTAATGCAGAGATCAAATTTGGAAAGAGAGGGGGCGCTATTCTTTTGGCTGACAGCTCAAAAGTTGAAGAACTGAATGCTCTTGAGAGAGAATATGATCAATTATTCATTGTTTAAATGTTAAAGAAATATTTGATCAGTTATTCATATATGGATCGGTATAAGTGATGATTTTAAATGTGTGAGAAGTTATGGTGCATGATATTTCTTAGGAATGAGAAAAAAAACCAATAAAATCAAAAATCAATTGAAAATTGTATTGTTAGGTTGAGTTCATGTAAGTGTTTTTCTTATTTTGTTTGGTTAAATTCGGATACTAAGTGTTTCTACTAGATTTGGATTAAATTTTAGATCAAAAAATGAAAAAACTAAAAATATCTGAATTAAATCAAATTATATATTTTTCTTGATTTATGTATTTTCTAAATTTTTATAAAATAAAATAATTATTTTATATCTAAATCTATTTAAATATATTAAATATTAGATTAAAATAATATCAAAAAATTAAATTTTAAAATCTGATACCTAAATGATAGAATATGAATCGATCGGTCTAAAAAAAAATTCAATTCAGATTTAAACTAATATTAGAAAATTTATAATATCATGCATTAACCAAAATAACCGAACCAAATCCATATAATTCTAAAGAAAGAAATATTTGCAATACAACTGCACGTGTATATGAATGGATGTACGTCCATTGTTTGTGGACAGGGGGCAATGCAATATTTAACCATTGTGCTTTAGCTTAAATGCTAATGGTAATGTAGGGTTTATTTATACCCCAAAATTAACCCATCCTCAGTTATTAGGTTCTCCTTAAGAATAATGGGAAGGTGGTGATGGAAACAGTAGAGCTTACAATTTTCAGTCTCTGTTATTCAGCATGTCCAAAACAGTGTATGCAGCTTTCTGAAACTGTTCCTTCTCTTCCCCCAAGCTTTTCTTCCTTTCAAGAGCAGAGTCTTTGCACTTCTCAATTTCTTCCACTATTCCCAAAGAGTTTTGATCAATTTCACTGCAGAATTTTTATTAAAAGGTAAACAGAATATCACTGATAGGAGAAATATGGTGTTTGCAACAAGCTAATGATATGTTAAACCTGTCTCCTAGAATCTTAACAGAATAGCTAAGGAAAGAATGAGACAGTGAAGAAATGTCGGATCTGAAAAATAAAGATCAAGCAATCCTGGGGAAGGACAACATGGCTGAATGCCTTTAACAAATTCATTTTCCTTGCTATAAACTTATTGCAGCATTATAAGTGAAAAAGTACTGGAAGAGTTATATAAAAATCATGATTGGTGTGTTCGTTAGCAGTTCAGAGTAAGTAATAAAGAGAGAATATTACTACAAAAGCACACTAGCACAGAAGAAACTGTTTCACTACCAGAAAAAAATAGCTGCATTCTAGGCTAAGGAGACAAAACATAACTAAAACAAGTAAACAAAGTCAGTGAATAACCATTCTTGAAATCACAGTTTCTCAGCCAAACAAAAATGTATAGATAGTGCAAAGGACCAAAAATGACAACAACAATAATTCAGAGAACTAGAAAAAGAAGAAAGCGGATAAACATTAAAATACACTAATTATTTCTTTGTGTAATTTTCACAAGAAGGCAGTAGTTTAGATAAAGAAACAACAATAATCAACAAAATTTGCAAACTAAGTTCCATATCGCCATTATTCACCAGATGAAGTTACATTGATGATTTACTCACGTTATCGTCTTAAGCATATTCTCCATTGCCATCTGAACATGCTGCGACATATCTGCATTAATTAAATGAAAATTATTGTGAGATAAATAACTAAACATATATGTATGGAACATTACAAGATCTGACAAAATAACTTAGTAAAAAAAATATTTTATAAGCACGTATTTATAAAAATGAAATTTGTCTGTTAAACTTATAATCCTCGAAAGTATCCAAAATCCACAAAATTACGAGGACGACAAGCGGTCTCAAGAAATTAACTACGAATTGTGCTATTAAAAACTGATTCAAGCAAAGATCCTCACATTTCACACAATTTGAATTACGCAGGTAATAAAAACGAAATGCATTTCTTTAAAGTGAAATTTTCAAACATGCGATGATTTCAAGTAGGAATAAGATAATATAAGAGAATATTCAACGTTGTTTGAAATTAGAAGCGAAATGAAAGTAACGAATGGACAAAGGGAGAAAAAGAAATAGAGGAAGAGAATGAACCATAGACGAGAGAAGAGAGGTGAGATTCAGCTTCTGCAGCAGGCTGAGGAAGAGACTGAGTATCACCCTGAGATGGTGAACTTGCCATTGCTTCTTTTCGAGGTTTTAAGAGGGAATTTTTGAATTCAGTAGCTGAGAAAAAGAGAAATGGAGGTTCTGATTCGTTTTATAGGGGCAATTTTAAAATACTTAAAATTCTTTGGAGGCAATCTAATTATTTGCCTCTATTTCTTCCCGTATTTCAATTTCACCGGTATTTTAAATTTTTTTAATTTTCAAATACGGTATTTACTAAAGGGCGGTAGAGGAAAAAACATATTTATAAATATGGGCTCATGGCCTTCTGATGGTAGCGTCCCAATCCTGTGAGCTTAGAGCCGGCCCAGCACGTTTAAGTTTACTCGATATTGAAAGTTGAAACCCATCCCAATCAAACATTATTAAAGCAGATTTTTCTCAATTGATTTTTTCTAAGTTTCATCTGACAATTTATATTTTTATATAATATATAATATTAATAATTTATATATTTACATTAAATTTATATAAAAATTATATGTAATAATTTAATATAAAAATATAATATATATTTTATTTTATTTATATATAATTTTTATTAAAATTTTAAATCATGTTATTTTTATATTTCTTTTTTATATTTTTTTGTGTTGTATTTTATATTATCATTCATCGGTTATGACTATTCATAGATATAAACATATGTATATTCTAACCAATTTTAAAAAAAAATTTAATTTGATTAAATCGATTTAGTTTGTTCAAATTTTGGTAGCTTGATGCTGAATTTTGGTGGTGCGAGTACCGTCAAGTACTTTTGGTTTTGGACCCTTCGATTGGTCTAGAGATTTCCTATTTAATGTTTTTTTATGTTAGTGTTACTGATCAGGCTTGTACGTAATATGCTTTATTTTGTCTAAAATTGAGATGCTCCTTAAACATCTGACATATATACAAACCTAAATGTTACATGGGCGGTCATCCTTTGGACCCTATTCACTTGACTTTATAAAGGAAAGCCATTTAAAATGAAGCATCTCATTTCCCCAGCTATACAACTTTTTCATGTATCTCAAATTGCCGCCACCATGTACCTTAAAAAAAACAACTATAGGAACAGAAATCGCTCTAGTGGAACTTGCATCTGATCATTATTCGAGCATCAGCCCTAAAAGACAGGCTTTCTCGGTCCTGCATTTTACGTGGTTTACCATTATTTGCTCTTAAAAGGCAATATTATACTATATCATTTTGTTCTAGCATTACTTTCCTTTTATAAAAATATGCATTATCCACGAATGACACATCTACTTTCGCCTTTCAACTCTTTTGTAAATTCAAAATTTTAATTAAGATAGTGATTTTGATTTTGTGGCTCCAAATTTGTAATGTATGTATTTGAAACACACCAGTGTGTGTATAGAAAACAGAATCTTTCTTTAATTTTTTTAGTTATTAAAGAAAAATTGTGTCACAATCAATGCATGCCGACACATACAGTATATAAAATTAAAAAAACGAATTAAACTTTATTTTGATGAATAATAAAATTAATTGTGGTGAGGTTAAAAATAATAATTGTTATATTATAATTATGATTGAAAAATAATTTTAACAAAATTTTATGTTAATTTAATTTTATTAAAATTAATATTTAAATTTAATTATATTATAATAAAAATACGATAAAATTCAAACGAGACTTAAATCAAGTGAGAACTCTGAGTCGGCATCTGGGTTCTTCACTTGGCATAATCGCGTAATTTAACAGTGACAAATGAAAATGACACTTTATCCTTCCACACCAAGCAATTGGATTTGAAAGGTTAGGAGCTTGACATATAAGAGCAAATCAGCGATTATCAGGATAATTTTTTGACTGAAATTTTGGAGTTGTTTTAGAGAAAAGTTCCAAATTAACTGACAATACCTAAGATATCATCATATAGACAATGCTTTACCAACTCAAGTGTTGCATTAAAGTAATGCACTCACATATTTTAATCCTTTAACTTTTATTTTTTATCAATTTAATCCTTATATCCATAATATCAATGTAATCTTAATATAACTTTTACTAGCCAAAATAGGCCCAACCAACAACAGAAGCAATATTTAAAAGCATTCAATTTTATAAAATTTGTAATTTAAAAAATAATATATAAAACAAATTAATTATATTAAACAATTTATATCTTAAGAATGCTGTAGTTTTTTTTTTCAATTACTAAAATAGCATATTTTATTTGTTTTTAATATAAAGTTTCCTTTCTTATAATTATCGCAATTAGGTTATTTTTAGATATTCCAAAATTTTAATTGCATTTCAACCTTTTTTTTATTAATATTTTTCTGAAAAATTTCCAATTCTGCTTAGTCTTAAGAATTCACTACTCATTGTTATTCTTAGATTCAGATTTATTCCTGCCGTCTTATAAACTCTAATCACCTTTCAATCTTTTCGTGTTTAACTTAATATGCTATCTGTCAACGAATTACTCTATTAATTGTCCTAAGTTAATACGAAACTTAATGAAAACTGCGACTTGAGTGATAGTCATATTTTTTTATGATCTAAAGTGAAATTTGTTTTCTTGATAACAAGAATTATAAATTATTTATCGATTTTTTATTTTAGAGGTTAAGTGAAAAATCAAAAACATTAAAATTTATAAATTATAATAAAAATTTTAAAAATTTATAATATTAATATTTATGTGTGTGAATGACAATTAATAAACAAGTGTACATAACTTTATATAACTTTTCTTTTATCATGCTACTTTAGTCCTGCTATTTTATTGTATAATTTTACCCTATAAAAAGTTGACTGACAAGAAAAGTTTTTTTTTTTTTTTAATGAAACTCATAATAAAAGTTCAGGTAAAAGAAATTAAAATTACGTTTGTCTCACTTAAAATAAATTTTGAAAAATGAATTTATTTTTAAAAAAGCTTTTTTTATTATTTGAAAGATCTTATGAAAATGATTTTTTGGTGTTTGAATTTTTTTTGAAAAATCTATATTTTTATCAAGATAATATTTTTTACATAATTATTAAAATAATATCTTTATATTTATCCAAAATAATAATAACAAACATCATAAGTTTAAGAATAACAATGGAGAAAATTAAAAAACTCAACACAATAAAATAATTATAATATATGCTAAAAAGTAACATCTCATACAACAAAGTGATATATGTTAAAAAGACCATGACAAAAAAAAAGTGTCAACTCATACAATCAAAATAATGTATGTTAAAATCTTATTATGATTGTTTTATCATGTCCTGTTTTTTAATTTATTAATTATTATTTTTATATTTATGATATTTATTATTATTATTTTGAATAAATATAAAAATATTATTTAATAATTATGTAAAGAATATTACTTTGATGAAAATGTAAAATTTTAAAAAAAAATTTAAACATCGAAACATATTTTTCACAAAATTATTCAAACAACACAAAACTTCAATTTTTAAAAAATAATTATTTTTAAAAAATTATTTTCAATTAAACAAACGAGTGAAACTTAATCTAATTATTACTACCAACCAAAAAATATACCTGAATTACATTCATTTTTTTTATAAATTAAGAAAAAAAAAAAGAAAAGGAAATATCGAGGCATTTGAGATATTGACATGTAAAGGTCGCTTTCCATGGCCATGGGTGTGATTCCCACTCCAATGCCGACAGTCCCAAATCGTTCAATCAGATCTCCCCACGTCACACAAAATCACCTATTTCATTGCTGGCATGGCAAGATCGTAACCGGACAAGCTGACCACGTGTACAAGATCAATGTTCGAAAAAGTTTTTTGATTTTTTCTCAGCAACTTTGACAAGTTGCTAACTATTTTTTTAATGGAATTCATTCTGCATATGTTCAGTTAATTCACCAAAATGAACAACCTGCACAGTGGACCCCACATTACTAACGCGTTACATAAAAAAGTGGCCAAAACAAAGGTTTCACTTCCTCCCCTGGCCGCTCTCTGCTTTTCGTTCCCTCCCTCAGATACGCTCTCAATCAAATCGAAATCAAATCTATTATAATAATTTATGGAAAAATCTTCGAATCAATTTAAATTAAATCTGAGTTGATTTTTTTTTTCATTGAAACGGAAAATTTAGAATATGGAAACAACGACAGTGTTGACGGAGGCGGGTGGTGACGGAGGACATGAGAAAGAATTGTCCGATGGCTGCAGCAACGACAACAACAACAGTAATAATAGCAAAAAAGGCGACGCTCATCACCATAAGCATAGCCGAAGCATCAGCTGTGACGAGAAAGGGATTTTTGAATATTTTGGGTGGGTTTATCATATAGGACTCAACTCGATCGGCCACGAGTATTGCCGCCTTCGATTTCTCTTTATAAAGGGAAAATATGTTGAGATGTATAAAAGAGATCCTCACGAGAACCCCGGCATTGTAAGGAACGTCACTTTTTCTTTTTCTGCTCTCTCTTTTGTTTTGAATTTATTGCATCTCTTTTGATTATGCATAGGTTTTTTTTATTCATTTTTAAATTAAGTATGGTGAAATTTTGATTTATTTCCTTTTATGGATTCTTGAGCTGTTGTAGAATATTGATTATTGACTATTGAAAATTTATTTAGGTGGTTTTCCTTTTAATTATGGTGTTTTAGTGAATGGGTTAAGATTAAGTGGAGAGATGAAGATTGAGGTTGTTGACCTTGGGTCCAAATATTTGATCTATCTCCAAATTTTTGTTAAATTAGTAAAATGAATTTGCTGCCTTTAGCTAATTTAGCATAAGCATAGGAAGAGAAAAGAAGGTTAAACACATTTCTGTTTGGTGAAATCTATAAACTTTATGAATCTTGTCGATTCCTTTAGATGTTAATATTTGTTTTCTTGGATAAGAAAAATGAAAGATGAGGGAGAATATGTAGCTTTTTTCTCTAGAATTAACTTATTTGCTTCTAGGGCATCCTTCAAATTTCAAAACAGAGTGAAATTCTTAAAAGGCTAGATGCTTTGCAGTTTGTAGGAAGTTGATTAAAGTTCATAAAACAACATTCAAAAAGATGCAGAGAGTCTATTGAATGGGAAAATAAATAGTATATTTTATTGTGCTTGTAATTTGTGACCTTTTTAATGATTACATAATTTAACTAAAATTGATTCACTATTGTATTCTTTAGAAGTTTGGATTTCAGTTCTTTATAGAATTTAACTTGCCATTACATTGTTATGAAATTTGGCTTGTAAAGTCCTCTTACTCTACTTTGGGGCCTTTGACTGTAGAACTGTCATCTATTATGAGAACTTCGCAGCTCAGATAGGCCACTAATTACAAAGATTAAATTGAAGGCTTTTTTTCTTTGTTCATTCAAAAGGAGATCCTTTATTTATTATAATGGTGATTTATGAGAGATCTTCAAATACAATATTATATATGGAATCTTTTTTTTTTAATTCTCTTGGACAGTTTTCATTACTATCTCTTGCCATTGTGCATTAAGGAACAATTACTTAATTTATGTGGGTTAGACCACTCTTCCAATTTAATTGTTGTTGGTTGCTAATATGTTCCTTGTCCAGAGACCTATTAGGAAGGGTGTCATAGGACCTACAATGATGGTGGAGGAGTTAGGGCGTCGAAAAGTCAGAAATGGGGTGAGTATATATTAATTATCATTTGATTTGTTTATAGTTATTATTCACAATTTTTTTTTTTCAAAAACTTGCTCTCAGATAGTACGTTGTGGTTCTTTTCTAGTTTTCTTTTTCCCACTTTCACTTTTTAGTGTTTGATCGTCTGAACTGTTTTCTTATGTTGGATCACTCCATGGTTTGCTTCTCGATTGATTATATTAATGTTTTTATGGACAATCAATAATGAAACTTGATGTTGTGCTTAACAGTTTTCTTTTGTTAACCATTTATAGGATCTCTATGTTATACAGTTTTACAATCGATTGGATGAGTCCAAGAAAGGAGAAGTAAGTTTGCTTCACACAATTGAATTGATAATGATTGCTAGATACTGGCTTTTATTTTGCATGACAAATGACATTCTGTTTGTATGTATAATATTTAACTTTGTTGAGTTGTTGGAAATTGTGGGTAGGTTATACAAATGTTTTGGGTGATAGCATGCTTGTCTTGGCTCACTTTTTTTTTTCTCTCTCCCTACAATTAATTTTGAAACATGTCAAAAGATATTTGGTTGGGTTCAGTAACTGCATGAGAGGTTTATAAGTACTTCCTCTAGTCTATATGTAGTATTGAAGGGAATGATGTGATTATGACAAGATAATACCTGTTAGTCTTATCTGGCCTACTATTTTTTATGGGCATCCCAGTAAAATGATACCTGATGGACTCATTTATTACCTTTTTGGCTGCCTTTTTTTTTTTAAAGTGTAATTGAATCACTTGGAACTGGTTAGAGCTGACAAGCAGAGCCACTTTGTTCTTTTTCAACTTCAAACTGCCATTGGGTGCAGCAATAATCCCTCTTTGAATCATTCTGCTAAGAAAGAGATAATGGCCCCCTAATCTCCTGCAAGAGTCAAAAGGAAAACCTCTTGTACCTGTCTTTGTGAAATATAATTTGCTTTGCTCTAATATCCTGATTACCTTGCTCCCATAATTTTCATTGTTTCAGTAACCAAAACCATATTTTATCCTTTCTTCAAAATCATGGCTGTTAATCCTTCATGTTATGTAGTGAATCCATGATGCATTTTGTTGGTTCTCCTGTGATGTCTACTCCATGGCATAGGGAAAAAGACAATTTTTTACTTTTCTCTGCGGACAATACTTTTCTTTCTTATTAATGGTTAGATAGTCTTGTGCGCTGAAATGGCTCTTGACTAACTTAGTGTTTTTCTGCTTCAAGATTGCTTGTTCCACAGCTGGGGAAGCTCGAAATTGGATGGAGGCATTTGATCACGCCAAGCAACAGGTACAAGTCATTTAAAATGGTTTGATTCATATATGTGGTTGCTTTCTTAGAAGAGAAGAACTTGTTTTGCTCTCATGATTTTTTTCCTATCTATTCACATAATCAGCTACCTATTTTGACAGGCTGAATATGAGCTTTTAAGAGGAGGTAGTACCAGAAACAAATTAAACGTGGAGGCTGAGTAAGTTATTTTTCCTTGACTATCTTGCTATAGTGGTCTTACTTGAGTTAGCTAATAGACTAATAGTTAAAGACTGATTTTAGACAAATTTTATGGGTAACTAATTGTATTTATGTAGATTGTGGGACACAAGTCCATTAATAGATTCCAATTGATAGGTTGAGAAGAGACTACGAATGGAAGGATGCGTATCTGTGAGAGGAATTAGATGCAGTATAACTATATAGTCCTTTGATGTAACTTAAGTTGAGGCTATAATTTTGGTTTTGGTATATTGTCTGGTGATATCATATGTGTGTGTATATATATATATATATATATGTATATGTATATGTATATGTATATGTATGTATGTATGTATGTATCTATTATAATATATATTATATATATATATGTTTATTTTGACTCTGTAGCTGAGCTAGAACGTATAGCAGCTAGTAGCTACTTGTAACAAAATCAATTTGATTCCTAAATGCTTCTAAGTATTGTGCTTCGTTACATTGTTTTCTGAAAGAAAAATAAATTACTCTGCCGTTTATTCTGAAGTATTGATTTGGAAGGCCATCGACCTCGAGTAAGGCGGTATGCGCATGGTTTAAAAAAGCTTATAAGAATTGGACAAGGTGAGCTGGTATTTGCCATCATTTTGATTTTGGGCCGTTGCATCTTTTAAGGTTCAAAAAGAGAAGTTTGGTTTGTCCCTCTTTTTTTTTTTTTTTTTAACTTTTAATATTCAAAGAAGATTCTTTTATGTCCACTTTGTGATATAAAATAACCTCTTAATGTATCATAGTTAGCATGCTTCCTCACATAAATGATTATATAAAAACATTTCAAATGCACTTTACCATCTGCACCTTTTAGATATTACCATAAAATTATGGTTGAATCATGGTAAGCTAATGCTTCATGCTTGAGTCTTTAGATAAGGAGAATGCTGCATCTTATAGTCTCCATTCCATATTTGGTGTATTTTAGCTGAGTCTTGGTGGAATTTTCCCATCTTAAATGAAGGTGATAAAAATTTAAGTGCACATCCCAAGTTAGTTCAATTCGATAGTTCTGAGAAAGCAAACTTTGTGACATATTGAAAATCAAGATAATGATTTCTTAAATTTGAACATACCTTGGTGTTAGGAGTTTCAGGGGTGGCATATTGAGCATTTTTGTCATGTGAAACATAGAGAACACCCTTGAAAAAAAAATTCTAGAAAATTGATGATTTCGAGAGATCGAAAAAACATTATCATGTCTTATTCAAGCATTAAAATTGCTAGGAAATGAAAAGTTAAATTTAGGAATTTTATTGATATGAAGGACCTTTTCTTTCCAAAAACATTTTCCTCATTGAGGTTCTTCTATTTGATTTAATCCGATAACTTTTTATGTTTCTAATAAGTATATATTAATGATTTTTCAGCTTAATGTAATAATTTTGTAGTGCTGATTTATAATTTTCAGTTTCTTTTATTTTGGCTGTTCACAGGTCCGGAGATGCTTTTACGGCAAACCTCGAACTTGGATGGTAATGGTACGTCTGATGGATACTTTAAAGGGGAGTTTGGAGATGCAATTGAAGCACATGAATGGAAATGTGTTCGTACGGTCAATGGTATACTTCATATACCTTTTTTTGGTTAAATGAAATGCATTAATTCAAGAAAATTGACAAGATAAAAAGGAGTAAAGGATACCAATATAATGAAAATCTTGGATTAGGGTAATGATATATAAAAGCAAGGCAGACAATAATCCATATAGAACTGGAAAAACGGTAATGGTGTATTCCTCATAATCTCACTGTTAATGGCTTACAGCAATCTAATCATGTTCTTTTAACAATTCTATTTGCTAAAACTGCTTAAGCTTTATAATTTGGGAGGGCTGGTTTCTGAGCATGTCGAAATAAGATTTCTAAATTTCCTCTCTTTAAGATATGAAGAATGAAAGATTTCACCGTTTATAAAGGATAGTATGTTATTTTGAGTCTCAATATGCTAAGAAAATGGAATGGTCCTAATGGAGAAACATTTTTCTATAACCATCTAATAGTTTGATTTCTATATGGTTTCAGGTATTAGAATCTTTGAGGATGTGGCTGATTCGAAGGTATTTATATGATCATACTTAATTATTTCATTTTATTTTTTATTTAGGATAGGCATCATTATGGAAATTCCCACATATTTATTGGAACTTTAGCCTTATCCCATTCACTTTGTGGAGATAATACATTCAGGAACATATCACATATATCACAACTTCAGATTACCAGTATAGCGGTTAAAAACTTAATTCAATGCTAAACATGCAGTTTACAGATATTGCTTATTGAACTTGTAGATCTAAAATATCTGAATTCCTGTGTTGCTGCAGCTTTTTTTTTTTGCCTTAAAATTATCATTGAACACAATTTTCTTTGTGTTCCTCTAGAATATTAAAGTTTTAAATTTCTCTTCGTGAGATGAATGACTCAAGCCTTCTTTAAGATGTTCTTTGAACTATTTGTAGAGTGGAAAGGGTGCTCTTGTGAAGGCTGTTGCTCTTGTAGATGCAAGTGCAGATACTGTTTTTGAAGTAATCTTAAATCTCGACCGCCATAGGAGATATGAGTAAGTTGTTCCACCTAGGTTCCTTGACTTCATATTTCCCAGTAATGCAAGTTTAGTTTCTCTACTAACTATCTTCACAGGTGGGATATGTTGACAGGTGACTTGGAGCTGATAGTTTCCTATGATGGACACTATGATGTTATCTACGGAACTTATGATCCAAAATATCTTACTCGGTAATTTTTTTCAGAATGGACTAGTTATTCTCTTTGAAGAACCATTCGGCAACAGCGTGTCATGCATATGTACTAAGATATGAAGTGATTTTTATCAAGCACATCCATAGTTTGCACTTCTGATTGGTTTGATGTATTTACAACATTTAATTTTCTCATAAAAAAGGATAATTAAAGGTTGAACGATATTAGGTTCCTCCGTTAATCAACAGCTAATCAAATTGGCATGAATCTATCTGGTCTCTTTTGCCATTGGCTTGCATTTATTTGTCTTATTGCATGTTTTCTAGATGGCAATCCAAGAGAGATTTTGTCTTCTCTAGGCAATGGTTTCGAGGGCAAGATGGTGCATACAGTAAGAGAATATGCTTATAACATTATAACATTTTGAGTTTATTTATACTTGTATGAAATTCAAGATGTTGGTTGCCTCTACTTCGCTCACATATAAGATATTTTTTGTTGGCAGCAATTTTGCAATTTCCAGCTGAACATAAGAAGCAGCCTCCAAGATCTGGATACCGACGTACAACTATTAATCGTAAGAATTTGTATTCTTAGATGGAAAAATATTTTCTCTCTGAAGCATTGTTATTTTTCTTCTCTGGATCTCTGTACTTTCTCTAGATCAAAATTTGAAGGGATTTATTGATCCATAAATATGATTTCTTTTTCTATATTTTCTATTGGTAGCAGCAAATGCTGCTTTTAGACGTCAAGTTTCCATTCTCTGGTACTCAATTATTTATAAGGTAGTAGTTACAGCTATGGAGCACTGCAAGATAACTCTTTCATAGGTTACATTAGGAAAGAGACCTTATGCTTGTTTTAAATCTTGTTTATCTATTCATAATTTATATATGTATATATGTATGGATGGCAGCGTCTACTTGGGAGATTAGAAGTTTAAATGCACCCATGGGTTCAAACACTACAAAATGCCTTGTAACGCAGATGTTGGAGATTCATACTGCTGGATGGTGTAGGTGGAAGAAAAACAGCTGCTCCAAGTTTGAGAAGACCATCCCATATGCTTTATTATCCCAAGTGGCAGGTTTAGTTATCTAATCAAGTCCTTATTATCTAACTTGTGATCTGATATTAACAGTTAATGGCTTAAGACATCTAGATTTTGTTGTCTCACTAAATCAGTTCTGAGATCTCTGTTTGACGGGTGGGCTTTCAGAAATTTTTGTGCATTTTAGAGACTTGATCAGCTAAGACAACCTTACTTCACTGATCTCCAACATATGCAACTATTCTTTACTATCCCTAGGACTTTCAAGTCAAGGCGGCATAGAACTCTTTCATTTATCTCTCTAGTGATAGATTCGATGACTGGATTGATGTTTGTCTCAACCACTTTATAGGTTTATGATGAGTATACATTACATGACTTTCTGACAGTGTGACTAGAAAGAAGTACTTTTCTTTACTCACATTATGCACAGACATAGAATGCTGGTGACAATGAGATCATAAATGACAAAAATTCAAGAATTATTGTAAAAAACAATATTAACAGCTGAATCAAAACCTGCAGGGTTTTGTCACTGATATCATTTATGTCACAGTCACTGCAGTGCAGTTATGTTTCCTAGTAAATCTTGTTTCAGGTTTAAAGGAATATATTGGAGCAAATCCATCACTCAATTTTGACTCTTCCACCATGGTTGTCCAATCAAAACTTTCTGATGGTTCAACTTCCAGTGGCGAGTTTGAGGATGTAGAACTTCAGGATGAATTCTATGATGCAATTACTGGTGATTCTTCTTCATCATCAGAAGATGAAGAGAGCAAGGATGATGCAGACAAGAAGGTAATCCCATTCCTCTTAACCTCATTGAAAAAAACAAGTGCATCCCCGTCATCCAAAAAGAAGCTATTAGTGGATTGATGTAACCCAATTATCATTGATTGTTTGGTCTTAACTTATCAGGAAAAGAAAATTAAGCTGAAGAATGTATCTTGGGCCATCTCAAGCTTAGCTTTGAAGCAAGCTTCAGGTTCTTTCTTCTCTGAAAATTTGTGTTGGGAAAGATAATTTACTTTTACATTTTACTTTTTATTTGAAAAGGAAGATTTTATTGAGGAAATCTTTTGCTATTGGTTTATGCATTCTTTTTGCATTTTTAGTTGTGTCAGTAACAAATAATTATAGCTTATAGCTTAAAAAATCTCGTATCCTTAATTTCACTATGAACTATTAAGTATGCTAAGTATTGGGTCACTGTGGATGTAGCTCCAGATGCAAATAAAGAATTAGATCCTAGTGTACCTCCTGTGCATGTTGATGCTAGTCAATTCAATGGTACCCTCCACAAAGGAAAGGATGAAGCTGACTCAAATTGTTGGACTTCTCCTAGCGGTAGGGGATTTATGATAAGAGGAAAGACTTACTTAAAAGATAATGCCAAGGTGAGCTTTTCTTTTCTTCAAAATCATTTGACATGTATTTTTCCTTCTTGTTTTATTTGTTTTGAGTGCATTCTATCTCATCATCTTATAACATCAAAGCATGAAATAAGATTTTCTGGTATATTAGTATGGCCAAATGAGATACATATCCGAATAACTGGTGGTTTCTGCTTGGAGAGTAGTGTTATTCATTTGGTTTTCATCCTGAGTTTATATCTGTGCTTCTGTTTGCCAGTAATTTTGGTAACGATGGGTTTGATTTAGTTCCCTTTACCTAATCTAGGCTGGTTTGGTTTCTAAAATTGATTAATCGACTGAAATGGGCTTTACATGTGTATGCATTAGCAGTATTTGCTGTCTTACTGTTGTATTCTTTGTTTTGTTTTAAAGTTGAAACCCTATTGTTTAGTTCAGTAGTTTCATGTGCTTTGTTTGAATTATTAGTACATTTTGATCCATTTATTAATTTTATCTTTCTTATTGTACGAGTTCTTTGATTGCTTTTAAACTGTAATCATCTTGGCTTAATGTGTTTGCTGTTGTGCAATCTGCAGCTTTCAATACAAATGAGAAATTATGGCTTTTCCTATGATGAAAATTTTCTTTTTATTTCATAACTGACAGCCCTCCTGTTGTTTAGTATATCTGGGATGTGTGCCTCACATTCCTTGTTCTTGCTGAGATAATAGTTGTTCTGCAGAGAATCAATTAAGTAACAATATAAACCATTTCGCAGGTAATGGGTGCAGATCCCCTTCTCAAGCTAATAGCTGTTGACTGGTTCAAGGTCGATAAAGCCACAGATAAAATTGCATTGCATCCAAGGTGTCTAGTTCAGGTATTATGCTAGGTTTCATACTTTGCTCCCCTTTCTTTGCGAGTATTTATTAACATCATGTGAAGTTGCTTCATTCTTAGCAAATTTGCTGCATTTAATGATGGCTTTTGGTGTTTATTTTTTAATATACTTTCAACAGTCATTATGTAGAAAAGTCAAGACTAATATAATTTTATCCAATCCTTCTTGATCTATGTGTATTTTACATTCTCAAATTTGAGTGCTAAAATCCATAACGGGAATCAGTATCTTTCTGGGTTTCACAAATTTTCATGCTATGGCTAAGCTATTCCTATGCTAAAGGTATACTTTTTTATTCTAAGCAAAATTTTATATATTTTTTAGGTTTGGATTATAAAATATATATTCTTGTTCCTTAAAAGTCATCTTTAGCCTTGATTCTGTATGATAATTAAATGAATGAACCATATTGTTGTAGCAGAAAGTCAATTTGGTATGCTTGTTACTCTTTATTACATTTCCTTCTGAGAGTTCTGAGCTGGAATAAAAAGGAAAAGGTGCCTTCAGTTGAGATTTTCATATTTTTTCCCAAACTTGGTTAGCCTTTTAGACTGGATGAAACAATTTTAAAACTGACAATGGAAAGCTTTGAAGTTTTCAGTTTTTTTGGCAATCTATATAGTGATTAATTTCTTCAAATTATATTTTGTCAAACCATTTATATTTCTACGTCTAACAATGCTAAACAAAGCCCTTTCCCACTTTCACCGTATCTCCCTCTCTTGTGATTTCACTAACCCTGTCTTTTCAAATCATCTGTTTGTTGTCTAATCTTTTCTTGTATACCCACACGGCCATTGCAGCATCCTCATCTCAACGGCACTCATCTCCTATTTATTAAGAGACTTGGCGAAACAGCTATCAAATGCCTGGCAGATTTTTAGATCTTAAGTTTTTGTTTCAGTTTGGAAATTAACTGTTTATACTTAGGATAATATCCCTTAGCAAATAGTATGCTACTCCCATTGGGGACTATATAATTTGTTTTGAGACTACCAAACTGTTTATTATTGCATCTTTGTGTTCCTAATGTGTTGGGCATTTGTTTTAAAAATAATTAACTCACTGTCATATTCTCTGTCACACTGGACAGAAAAAGTTCCTTTCCAGATGGAACAAGCTAATTTGAGAATATTTGAGCTATCATGCATGGTTTTGCATAATTGAAGAACAGTTTTATGAGTTATGACCTAACTGCTATTTTTCATTTTCAGTCAGATGCAGGAAAAACGCTTCCGTTTATCCTTGTGATTAATCTCGAGGTAGGCATGTGGATGCAGTTCAACCTTCTTTATCAGTACAATGTTTTTGAACAAAATACCTGTTATATACTGGGAACTTTTATTGACCTCTTTCCTACAATGCATAAGACAGTCATGAACACTGTTCTATGTTAAAGGCTTACATCTTACTTCTGTAGAAACTAACCATTAAGAGCAGAAAGTTGTTTGCTTGGGACATATAGGTTTCAGTTTCTGACCTTTAGGACCCTGCTCTGATGGGATCATTATCAGTAATGATACTTAGGCCATAGTTACTAAACACAATATTATGAGTTCATTTGAAGAAATGCTAATCTAGAAATAGGCATGCATATAGTGGATGATATGAAGATGAAAGTGGAAAATTTTCAACAAATTTTATTGTTGTGGACGGTGAACTAAGATCACTCTCTTGCCTTTAGATTTGCTTCTTGTTTCCACTTTTCTCCCAAGAATGCCAGCTTTGGGGGATGACAATGGGAATAGTTGTAGCTTGGGGAGAATTTTAATTGAATTCTATTTTTGATTGCAACAAGTTTCATTTTGGTATTTCAAATAGGATATATGTTTTAGTGTCTCTCTTTCAGGTTCCTGCAAAACCAAACTATAGTTTGGTCCTCTATTATGCTGCTGAAAGGCCTGTGAATAAAAATTCTTTATTGGGAAAGTTTGTGGATGGAATGGATATGTTTCGTGATGCAAGATTTAAACTGATACCAAGCATTGTTGAGGTATGATATGCTATATTGTAAACATTTCAAGTGGATTTTATCTATCTGTTTTAATGCTATTGAAAAGCTCATTTATTTTCAAATGCACAGGGGTATTGGATGGTCAAGCGTGCCGTTGGAACGAAAGCCTGCCTGCTTGGGAAAGCTGTTACCTGCAAATATTTCAGACAAGACAACTTTCTGGAGGTAATTCAACCTCAGTTTTTGCTAATTTCCTTGCCTCAGTAGGCAAGCCAGTGAGTGCTGCATCCACATTTTATTTAGGCGTGAAATGATGCACTTCATCGATAAACTACAAATATATGAAAAACATAGATAGTATTTCATGGTTTACATTAAGCATGCATTAACTGCATAGGATCAAGTGGGAATTTGGAATCTCATAGACCAAGTCTGCAAATGTTATTATAATTTTGAAGCCTAGGTAGTGGCTGGATCTAAAGTCTTTAGATATCTTTATAATCTTAGAAGTTCCACTGCAGTGGTATATAGTGCAATTATCTGTAGTATATTTCTATATTGAGAAGTTAATGCCTATTCTTGCAATTTCCGAAGTTGACTTGCAATCTTTCACTGGTATTGATTTTATTGACTTGTTAGATGAGGACTTTCTGATCTTGATGATACTGTTGCTGTATCTTCTACTATGCAGATTGACGTGGATATTGGGTCATCATCAGTAGCAAGAAGTGTTATTGGCCTTGTTCTTGGATATGTCACAAGCTTAGTAGTAGATCTTGCAATATTAATTGAGGTTTGTGCCTTTTTTGCGCTGTTAATCTGTGAAAGTACTGATTTTTATGTGGGCTTCTTTTTTGGAATAGACCTGATCTTGTAAATGGTTAGGATTTTTTTATGGTTAATTATAATGCAATGTCAAGTGAATTTTGTGAATTTGCTGTTTGAATAATCTCTGAAACCTTTGGGCATGTTTGGAAACTCTGTCTACTGAGATTTTTCTGTTCTCCAGACTAGGGAAAGTTTTCAGTTTTCACAATGTGTTTTGGGAACAAAACAGAAAACAAAAAGCACTCTAAACAGCCCCTTTCTTATGAATTTTTTTCTTGTCTAACTTGAGATTGTAGGAGTTTCTCAAGCATTTTAGCTCTGGGTTGTGTGGTTTTTTATATTGCTGTTTGCAAGCATCAAGCACCAAACAATTTGTTGCTTTTCTATGGTACAGTAATGAAATGCACAATTTTTTTGGTTTTTTTTTTCGGTTGGATCTTGTTGCGGCTGTAACTTCCCTGAAATAAACAATTTTAGTGTATATAGGTCGTCATGGTTTTTCTGCCGATAGTATCTTTGTAGACAACCAACCGGTTAAGAAAAAAACTCCAAAATTTTGGCTGCTTATTAAGTTTTAGAAAATCCTTATTTTTTTCACTCTGAACAAAATTTCACCTTGTTTCTTCGTGTTCAACTAATTATTCTTTGAACAATATCCTCTATTATTTTGAAATTCATAATCATGTTTAGTCACAGAATGATGAAAGTACTACAGAAATACACACTAGATATCTAAAGTGCTCAGTAAGGTTGAATTCTTTCTATTTTGTTCCCTTAAAAATAAACGTCTGAAGCTTAGATAATTGACGCTTGCTCCATCTGCAGGCAAAGGAAGAGGCAGAATTGCCAGAGTACATTCTCGGCACTGTTCGACTGAATCGTGTGCGGCTTGAATCTGCTGTGCCGCTGGATGTTTGACGTTTGCCACTCCTCGTATGCCGGTTTTTACGCATATTGTGCTCCAAGGTTGCCATCACTACGAGTAGGCTCCATATTTAAATGTCTCATGTGGTATAGTGTAAGATTATTGATGAGTTGGCTTCCAAAGTTTTTATCTTTTCAGCATGCAGTTTACTTGATTTAAGGGGACTAGCGTTATCCCCTCCTATTTGGATTTTGGGGATGGTTACTTACCATAATTTGGGCACTGCAAAGCAACGAAAAACAGTAATTGAAAGAATCAATTCCTGCTTCTTCACTCAACTTTACTTTCTAACAGCAATCAACCCTTACAAGCAATTTAGAAAATCTGGTAACTAGAGGCATCTTGATATAAAATGGCTAAAAAGACTCTTTCCATCGATGAAGAAGCTGAACTTCACCGGAGCACCAAAAAGGTCAAGGGAAATCTAATAAATGTTACAGAAACTTTGTCCGCATCAGCCCGTTCGATTGTTTCTTATAAAGACTCCCTCGTGGGTGCAAGTTATGGTATCATCTCCAAACTTCGTACCAGTCAGAAAGCGACGGTATGGAAACTGACTCTGAAGAAGAAGACAGTCAAGTCACAGATCATGATAATGTCAGCGTCACCCTCTCAAAGGCAGACAAGCAGTGCATGGTGTCAAGTTGGGCTAAAATCCTCGTCATTAAAGTTGTTGGCAAAACTGTAGGTTACCAGTACCTTGTCCATAAACACAACCTAATTTGGAAACTCCAACAAGGTAAATCTTATACTATTGACCTTGGCAATGACTACTTTGAAATTAAATTTCAACTTCCTGAGAACTACGAAACTGTTCTCAAGGGGGGGCCTTGGTTCATTGGCGGTCGTTTTCTAGCGGTCGACATCACGTGAAAAATCGGTAAAAGAATAGGCACGTTGCTCCGAGTGGATAACTACACTCTTCACAGTGAAAGAGGTAAATATGCTAGGCTCTGTCTCCAAGTAAACCTTGATGAACGGCTACCAAATTTCATCACCATAGACGGCCGAAAGCAATCCATTATCTATGAAAGTATTGGTCTCCTATGTTTCAATTGTGGTAGACTTGGTCATAAGAAAGAGACCTACCATGACTATGTTGAGCCAAGCATCAATGAGGCAACGGAAACCACTACAATAAATCTGATAATTTGTAATAATATTTTAAAGTGATTCATTATATTTTGTTATGCAAAATAAGTAAAAAATAATGAATAATATATTTTATCATATTTTTATATTATTTTAATATTTTATATGATAAAATATATTAAATTGTCACAAGATAACATTATTAAATTCTTATCATCAAATTTTATAGTCAAATTTATTTGGTAAAAAAGTTCTTTTTGTGATGTTTTTTAATTCCCTACCTTTTCTGTATTTGGTTTTAGTGGAGGGTCTGTTACTAATCACATACTGCATGCTATTGGGAGCATTACATATAGCATTGCACTGTTTTTTTTTTAATTTTTAAATTCAAGTGTGGCCTCTTTTATTAGTTTTTTTTGTTGAATTCAACTTTACTTGATGAATTAGATGAGATACGACTTGTTGCTCATTCCACGTTAATAATGTGTCTATTAGTAGCAAAAGAGAAAGAGGGTAGAAAAAAAAATTAGTTTTTTCTCACTCTTAAAAATATAAGATTCTAACATCAATCACAAAGATCAATCCATTGAAGATAAAAAGGAAAGTAAAAGATACATAGTAAATTCGAGATCATTTTTTTTTTGTTTAACGAAAAATACATACTAACTTTAACTTATTGTAAAGCTTGTTTTAGAATGATGATGCCAGATTGACTTTTATGTTTATTAGATTCGAATATTTTTGTTAGTTGACAGGAATGTGAGAATTTGTATACCTTATTTTGATGGATCCCATGGTCTTGTCTTATTTTAATTTTATTGTTTTTATTATCATTTAATATTTGTTATTAATTATTTGTTGTAGCTTTAAGTGACACAAACTCACAATCACCATCAACACAAGATTTGGATTGAGAGATTCAAAACATACTTTTGATCACTACTTATTTCATAGTTATGATATTATTTATTTTTTAGATAATATTATTTCTATATGATTTTAGGATTGACTTTAAAGAATGTATTACATTTAAAATCAATACAAATATTTAGATGATATCTTATCATTTCTTCTTATTTATACAAGATTTTGCAAGAACAATATTATTTATATTAGATTATTGTAAAAAAATGATGGTGATGATTTATGACTGTTCAATATTTTGTTACCGTTATAAAAGAATTTTTTTTACATTAAAATGATTAATTTGTCACTCAAAAATATTTTTCATAATGATTATAGTATCGTCAAATTCAACGAATAATTTTTATTTTAATGACAAAAATAAGTTTATAATTGATGACAAATTTAATTGATACAAAATTAATATATCGTCACCTAATTTTGTATGTATATTTAGTGACATTATAAAATTTTTTATGATGCTATCTTATAAGCGCAAGTGATGTTAATTATATCAACAATCCTGTGACAAGTTAGCTTTCCTCACAAATATATAAAATTTTATTATTTATTTTGTGACGATTATAATATTTAATAATTTTTTTTATATATAACTAATGAAATGTAACATTATAAAAAAATAAAATATAAGATGACGTCTAATTTTATTATTATCTTATATTCATAATAGATAATAATATTTTAATATCATTACGTTGGACTTTTAATGATGATATAAATATAACAACTATCATGATATTTAATTTTTTTATCATAAAAAATATATAATAATGATAAATAAATCTTTAATGATGTTATTTTATGCGCCGCTAACGACTAAATTTGTAGTGCCAACAACAATTCCCCAAACCCTACCCAAATGAAAATGATCCAATTCATGAAGACGAGGGCTATGGTCCTTGGATGTTGGTGCAAATGAGCCGTTCAAGGACAAAAGTCGTTGGCACGGTTCCCAGTAAAAGTGCGCCACGCGATCCCACGACCCAGCCGCATACCTCCCGCCACCTGCCCTGACAAAAAGCTTGATGGCTTGTCCCCATCAATCACCCTACCTCAAGCTAACTCCTCTGATGCAAAATTTTCCCCTATCCTAAATGCCCTGTCCCTCAAAGGAAAGTGCCCTTTTCAGGCTGTATCCCATGACCCGCTCCTCCCGCCACCTGCCCTGACAAAAAGCTTGATGGCTTGTCCCCATCAATCACCCTACCTCAAGCTAACTCCTCTGATGCAAAATTTTCCCCTATCCTAAATGCCCTGTCCCTCAAAGGAAAGTGCCCTTTTCAGGCTGTATCCCATGACCCGCTCCTCGCCATGCTAGCTATCAAGCCTGCAAAGCCACCCATTGACCTCGCAACGTCTCTCTATTCAAAATCTTTGCCAATTGCATGCAACGTCAACCCTGTTTTGTCTCACGCAAAAAAGCTTTTTCCATTTGCATGCAATTGCCTTCCCCTACTCGAGGAATCATTCCCGCGGGCGTCTTTATCCATGCATTCTTATGCACGTGATAGGAACGATCCCCCCACCAACGCCCACATTTTTCCCATTCTCCCCCAACAGTTCTACCCAACACCCCTTCCGCCCCACTCTTGAGCTCACCTGTTGCTTCTAAAAATGACAGGTTGCTCGTTTTCAGAGGCCGGAATATCAAAACCACAGTGCCAGCCAAAGAATGAGAGTATGCCTAAAGCGTTGAAACAGGAGAGCATGTCTCAGAAACTCCTTGAACGGGATCAGTCATCCCCCACTTCAACCTTCTCCTTTGGCCTCTTTAGGTCAGAACAAAGACTAGATGAGGAGAACCTTGAGTGACATTGAATCCATGGGAGATTTCGGCTTTCATCGTCTCCAAGAGACAGTATCCTGGCAAGGTTCCCACCTTCAACCCCGATCCACGTCAAGAGTGCAAACTTTAGTGGGGGCTTTTGCACCAATGCTGATATTACCACCTTCAGTATAGCCATTGGTAACACCAAACTCGATACTATTACATGCTTTGAATCTTCTGCAACATGGCTTTCTCAAAGATTTTGCCAACTAACTCCCATGGCTGCTGACGACTTTAGAAACGCAACTTGTCAGCAGGCCACTAGAAAACCACCTGATCATCTCTCAATCCTCAATGCTAAAAATAGCAACTAGCCACCTTATACGCCAACTCAAGATCTTTGTGAGTTCACTTTTAACTCAAGAACCCGACACCTTGGTACACAAGATCGAGATCTGCCCCTGGATAGAGATAGCCCTAATGAGCCCTCATAACCCTTCTCTTAATTCGATGGAAGCTCCAGCCATCTTTGATAGCCCTACCCCATCAAACCACCACCCCATGTCCATCATTGTCTGGAACTGTAGAGGTGTTCGTCACTCAGACTTCATTAGCACAGTTAGGGACTCGGTCTCTTTCCACCACCCTAAAATCATGATTATCACTAAGACTAGAGCTCGTGGGAAGGAGGTTTACCACATTATTGATCGCATCCCTTTTGATGCCCGGAAAGATACTATCACTGTTGGAAATATTGACTCAAATCCCATAAGAGATTTGTTTGATATTTGTTAGAGATTTGTTTGAGATTTGTCAGATATTACTTGATGGACAAGGAGACTTGCAAAAGAAGAATTCCAAGAGAAAGAGGATTCTTAATAGGTAAGTTTGACTTACAAGAGAAGAATTTTAAAAGGAAAGGGATTCTTAATAGGCAAGTTTGACTTACAGGAGAAGAATTCTAAGAGGAGTGGGATTCTTAATGGGCAAATTTGTATGGTTATAAATAGGTGAAGTCTCTACAGGGTTAGGTATGAGAAAAGATGTAAGAGAGTTATAGGGTTTTGTGGGATAGACACCCCATAGGAGTATTGGGGCTCTACGTCTTATGGGTATGTATGTTTGTTTGTGAGTGGACTAGAGGAGACTGAGAGGATCCACATAGGTATGATGTATGGAAATATATGGGTATGTGTTTGGTTGTGTTAAAAGGGTGCACAAGGGTTTAGGTTTGTGTTTGTTTGGGTTGAGAATACTCCATAGGACTAGAGGAGATTGAGAGTGTCTTATGAGTATTGATTGTTGAGTGAGGTTGATGATTTAATGTAAGTTTGTAATTTCCTACAACTAGTGGATCTTTTTTCTCATCCGTGGATGTAGGTCAGTTGGACGGAACCACGTTAAATTATTGTCTCTTGTGTGTTTGATTTATTGTTTAATTTAACTTTCGCTGTGTGTGATTGGATTGGAGGGTTTTAGCCCA